TTCATTCCGTTTTTGCCCAAAAACAGGCAGTGTGGCCATGGCCATTTTGTGCAAAAAACCCTTTTTCTGCAAGATCCTTATACCTTTCCGGGACAGATATAAGGATCTTGCGGAAAAAGGGATTTTTGCACAAAATGGCCACGGCCAAACTGCCTGTTTTTGCGCAAAAACTAAACGAAAGAGAGGGTACGTTTAGACTACAGGGTTTTGTCGATGGAAGTTTTGTCGACAGATACTGTCGACAAAACTTCTGTCGACATAGAGCGTCTAGACACATTCAGTTTTGTCGACAAAGCAAGCTGCTTTGTCGACAAAACCCTGTAGTCTAGACACAACCCTACAGGCAATAGCACCTTCTGTCGACAGAACTCTGTCGATAGAAGGTGTTATGCCTCGTAAAATGAGGTTTACCAGCGTCGACAAAACTGCTGAGTTCTGTCGACGTTATGTCGACAGAACTCAGTGGTAGTGTAGACGCAAGTATAGTTTTGTCGACAAAAGTCCACTTTTGTCGACAAAACTCAGTAGTCTAGACACACCCAGAGTATGCAAATGAAGCATAGGAAAATGTTAATCCGTGCTTCATTTGCATTACTTCTTACAGAAAAAGTCATAGTGTAGCTGTAGTCCAATAGTGTGTGTATGAAAATACACACACATACACACACGTTCCTGGATATTTGTCACATCAGTAACTGATAGCTACTATAACCATCCAAATTCTTTCAAGATATAATGTTGCAAATAGACTTCTTTCTAATCTGTGCTAAAAACACCTCGCAAATTCTTATTAAATAAGTAAACAAGCCCAGGTTAATAGTAAAGAATTCTTGCCTCCCTTCCTTTCCAACTTCAGTTAAAAAGTATAATTTGTGCTCTCACTCCTCATTTAGAAAGCAGTTTACATCTGCTATCATGTCTTGATTACCTGCAAGAAAAGATCCAAATCACACCTCAGAAAAAATATTTAATTATTACTCAATTTGTATTTTGTACTGGGTAGAAAATTATGATTAAAAACAAAACACAAAATGTCTAAAATGTCCATGAAACATTTTGATCTTTTTCAGATACCATCTGAATATCAAAAAAATTGTGGCAAAAAACTGATTATGGGGGTTTTAATGAAAAATAAAAAAGGTCCACTGTAAGCAAATATTTTGAGACATTTTTGTATAGTCAAAAAACAATTTTCCACTGGAAAAAATCATGAAGGAAAATTTTCAGCCATCTTTACTTTTAGGTACCTATCAAGCTAGTATGCTCTCTACAAACCATGAAGCACTCCACTTCTGCTAGCTTTTTGAAACACCAGAGGTAGAATGTTTTCCCCCCATGCTTCGAATCTGAGTTCTGAATGCTTTTATATTTCAGATATGTACTAAACCCACTCAACCAAGGTTATATAAATTTCCCAACTGTTCTTTCCCTTTTCTCAGTCAATAGTATTCATGAGAGACAGGGCCCCAATTTCCTATTAATTCAATTTTTCCTCCTTTGCTTCCAGCAGAACATCTGCCCTGCTTCTCATCACAAATGTCAATACTTTTTATGCCAGTCTAACCAACATGTGGAAACTGAATGAAGTAGCAAGTACCAGGAATTCAAAATCCTGGTTTTAGTCTCAGACATTGGAATGCCACTGTACTGAAATGTGCACTTTACCATAATAAAGTTCTTGTTTTAACTGACAAAAGATTACTGACTTGAGTGAAAAGCATCATCTGAGTTTAGGAAGCAAGGGGCGAAGGCATACCATTTTATCATGAATTATTAGAAATAAATGCTTAGCTGATCATAGAACTGGAAGATACCTCAGGAGGTCATCAAGTCCAGCCCCCTGCCCAAGGCAGGATCAATTCCAACTACAGCAACCCAGCCAGGATAAATATATTCTTTTAAAAATTCCTCTTTAAAAAATTCAGCAACAATAACCCAAAGTTAAATCTTTTTCATCCCACCTTTTGGTAACTTTTGACCATCAAGAAATAGGTAGCTCTGTATTTCATCCCTTTAACTCTGAGGAGCAGGCACATCATTTATGGAACAAAAGCAATTGTGGACACTAGTGCACCATTTGCACGTTTACTTTAAGTGTCATTTTAAAGAAAAGCAGTAGATTTTAATTAATCTCAAAGCAATTGTTTACCTTTATGTAAGAGATTAGTCTCACCAGTTATTGTTTCATCTCTAATTGGGCATGCAAACTAGAGGTTAAGAATTTGTCAAAACTTCAACTGAAGATAGCACTTTATAACACTTTTTCCCCTGTAGAGAGGAAAGTACCCACACTGTTTCTGCTACAGCTGTAGCTAATGGCAAAGTGCCCAGTGAATTCAACAGAGGCAGGATTGGTCTGGTGTGCCATATTGCTGGGTGTAAATTATAACATGGAAGATTTTAAATGACTTGGATGCAGTTGGGAGCCAGAATACAGTACTTTTCATGACAACACATACTCTAACCAACAAGGTACTTAAGCAAGTGCTTAAATTTATGTACCTGAGCAGACTATACTGAAACCAGTGGGGACTACTCACATGCTGAAGTTCCTTGGTGAATCAATGCCTTGGAAAGCGGGCAGTTTTGAAATTAATCCAAGGTACAAAAACTGTGTTTGTGATTTATAGTTTTTACACACTTCCTGCAGTTGGTGGGGGTCTCAGATAGATTTAAAGCTACTCTGTAACAGAACACATGTATTATGGACCAGATTCTGCTATGCTAGTTCAGTTATGATCTGGGTTTCTTTAAGGTGTGAGCATGAGGAAGAATGGCATTTGCTAGCAATATCATTTTTTATTCTTTTAAATCAAATTTAAATGATCAAACCTTATTGTTTCCTAAAATTTTCTCTAGAGAGCAAGAGCATTTTGTTTAGTCAAGAAAATAAAGTCAACAAATGAATATGTTGTTAGTTTGACAGCAATAAAAAAAAAATCACACCATAAAATATTTATTAAGAAGCAATGGACTTTTTTCACTTGTAAGAAACACTTTGTCAAGTGCTCTGTACGAGATTTAAAAACTTTGCCAAATGTTAACATTGATTTTACATTATACACAAGATAAAACACCACATCTTACAAATTTCCTTTTATTACAACTCTGGGTTGTTGTTTCAACCCACCCACCCCCAGTTGTAAATTAGTTTCTACATACTTAAATTTAATATTTTAAACAAGTAAACAATGTACAAAAAGATTCACCTGAATTTCATAAATCAGAGTTGGTGTCCTTAATAGAGCATGTGCAATCCATGCAGTGCATTCTGGGAGAGAGAGAAATAAAGAGCTAACTTTATTCACAGTTGAAAAAGCTAACCAAGTTGACCAGTCTTCTGGAAAAAAACCAATGGGCCTGATCCTGTAAGATACTGAGCACCTTTAACTCTTCTTGAACCAACAATAGTTGAGGGCATTTAGGCCTAGATCTTTCAAGGTATTTAGACATTGCTCTGCTTAGAACTGAAAGCTCAAGGGAGCATTTAGTTCCTCAAAAGATATTTAGGTGCCTACTTTCCATGGAGTTGAGTGCTTAGATGCTTTTGAAAACCCCATTAGGTGCCTCATAGGCTTAAGATTTAAAATGCTGAGACAAGCAGCAACTGAACACTGCTAAAAATCTGGTAATCCACGTTTTGTAGGAGTTACTCAGCACTTCATGATCAGACCTAGTCTTTTCTAGTCTCTCTTAGAAGTTATATACACTGTATTAGGGATGTTAAATTTCATGTAATCAACTGATTGAGTAGTTGATGGAAGTCAATAAGGGGGGAAACTGCAGAGCCACAGCAGGGTTAGGTCCCAGGCCTGCAGCTCTGCCTTTTAAATGTATTAAGAGCTGCTAGGTGCTTAATACGTTTAAAAAGCAGAGGCACAGCAGGAGGGACCAGCGGTAAGCCAGGACTCAACTGTCCCAACCTGCACATGGTCTTAGCTACACCTCTGCCTCCCGTGCCCCTCCCCCTCCAGAGAGTGCTGAGGGGAACTGGCTTTTAAGCCGGCTGCCCCTGAGCACTGGCTCCTGCTCCCTCCCCTTGCTGCCTATCTCTGATAGAGGCAGCAAGAGGGAGGGGGAAGTGGCTAATCAAGTCACTACTCGACAAGCTTGGGTAGTCGACTAGTTGCTAACATCCCTATACTGTACTATAGTTATGGTATCAGACAAGAAACCTGGTGTGAAATATCTACTCCTTTTCATATTGCAGTGGTAAATAACAGCTCATCCTTTCCTTTTTTGTGTTGTAGGTTTGCAAATGAAACCATTAGACCTGGCATAATTGCCCATGTAACAAAACTGTTAATATCAGATTCATTGCAACATAAGGAATCAGTATCAGACAATAAGAAAATTTTAATCAGTTCTAGTCTGGTTAAAACAATTTAATGTTTTCAGGATGTCTTCAATACTATACTGTCATTCCAAACATAAAGAACAAATTGACTAAAATGCACAGACAAATTTAAAAACGATGAAAGCAGCCTTAAAGACATTGTAGGTTTTTTTTTAAAGAATTATGAAATGCATGTTACCATTAACACAAACACATCATTCTTCGTATATTGGTTGCTTCTTTAAACTCAGATTATCTATTTTATCACAAATTGAATCAAAAGTTTCAGTGCAAAGTCACCCTCTGCAACATGCCATCTGCTTGAAGGTTTAAAGATTTCTATATTGTGCAGAAATATTTCATTTATAAAGCAATTATGCAAAATGAAAATCTATTAGGACTTGATTGTTTTGGTTGTTCTTTTGTTTATTTTCAATGCAAATAAAAAATAGCATTTCCAGAAATTGATTCCTATTCTAGTTGTGCAAATCTCCCAAGTTCAATTTGGATTGGCAGTATTTTAGCATCAGACTGGTCAGCAGGCCCTGGAGTTCAGAAAGGTTTGGATTAGAATGAATCCCATTTTCCCATGGCTGAATTGAATCACAAACCCATGGGCAAGATCTCAGTTTGATAAGTTTGAGCACATTCACACAGGTTTATGTTTTACAGGAAGTGGGATTAGTAGCCATATTTGAAGATACTACAATACTTTTCTCTGCAAGCACAGTTCAAACTTGAAATGCACAAGACAACAGCAGTATCAAAGATTTTGATCAAAGCAAGAATCTCATATCTGTTTTTATTAAAGTTCACTGAGATAAACAAAGATTGTGCAAACCCCTATTGGTTCCTGAACAAGAGTCAAATTCAAATAGAGTATGAGTCCATGTGCACGGGAAGTTAGAGCTGAATTTTTGTACATTTCTAATTCCTACATAAATATAAAGGACAAAGAAAATAATCTTGTGAAAAACTAAGAACACCACATCATCCCACTTTAAAACTAAAGTGGATTAAGAAATCACAGGACTTGGTAGCAAATTTCTATCTTACAATGATTGCACAGTTTAGTCTTCCATAGACAATGTGATTGTCTGTAAAGAAATATTAAATGTTGTAAAGAAGTCTGAAGAGAGAACAGAGGTTTCGTAAGTACCACGATCTTGTATGGTATACGAAAACTCTGTGAAGCAGACAAATGCTTTTGACTGTGCCATACCTGGAAGGCACTTAGTGGCTCAGGCATTTATCGCACATACAGAGTTATATTAAATCCTTTGTTGATCATGAACTGGAATGGAAGCATATCTGGAAATGCAAAGATATTGTCACAGTTTTTGGCAACTAAATCCAATGTAAAGAAATTGTTTATAAACACTGTCTGACATGCATGAGTCTTTCAAAATTATTTACAAATGAGGTTCTACAAGCTTCATTCCAAAAGTATTTCTCCTTTGCTTGGCTTAGGTGCTAAAATGTGATTTTTAAAATTACACAGTCACCGCTGGGTACATCTTCTGTTCACTATTGGCATGGGGATAGGGAGACTGAATCTGTCTGTATCCACTTTGAAGACCATCCAGGAAAGGTGGCACCGGGGTCATAGGCATAGAGTCATGTTGGACAGCATAACCTACATACTGTGGGTGCAAATACTGCCCTTGATGTGGCACAATCTGGGTAGCCTGCTGGCAGTTCAGTACTGAGAAGTTAGTAGGCATGTTGACATAGACATTATTCATGGTCCCTTCTGGCAAACAGCAGTTGGTCTGTGACCTAGTAGGGGGGGCTCTGGCACCTGAATTGGCACTGGAACTGGAGCTGGCAGCTGTACTTGATTGACGAGAAGATGAACCACGGGAGGTACTAGCACTTGGAATCATGGGAATAGTCTCCATCAGCCGATTACCTCCAGGTGCTCGGCTCTGCTGTGGCTCCTGCTTGGGTCGCAGGCATCTGCAGCAACAAGCTGCTACTAGAGATCCCAAGATGATAAAGGCAACAAAAACAGATCCAACTATAAGGAATGGAACATAAATGGGCACTAAAATAAATAAAAAACAAAAACAGTTATTAGGAGATGCTACAAAGGCCACACCTAAAAAACAGTTGTACAAAGAGAACAAGGTTTCCAAGTCTGTCCTAATTACACCACTTCAGGCTCCTTCTGGTGTGTTCAGTATTTGGGTAAGGCCAGCAAATGTGCTAGAACCACGGAGGCTTTTCCCTGAACAGCAGGAGAAAGATTCCAGTTTGTACTTGACATTTAGTCATAAATACAGTCTTAAAGGTGGTATAAGTTTAAAGAATATATACAGTTAGACTATGGTAAATGGTTAGGAATCACTTTGAAATCCTGTGTAAAAGTCCCCGCCCCCTTCTTTTTTAATTGAAAGTAAAAGCAAACCTGAAGGAATGATTACAGTACTTTGACTATTAAATATACTAGGACACAACTTGTACAAGACATTCTGGAGACAACTGGTGTTATCTAGAACATTAAAATAAATGCAGAACTTAAAAAAAATCAACTGTTTTTTCATTTGTAAAGTATCCAAACTCCTTGATAGTAATTTAACTTTTTCCTGTTTCTGATTTTTAATACTTGCAAATAGTGGACTAATTGCTAAGTTTCTTATTTGCTGTCCAAAAATGTGACATTTGTATCTGTCCTACTTTTATTCTTAGTTTCTTGTCAATGAGCATGGTATATGTGCCTAAGTCTTTCTATTATAAAAACGTAGTGTTTGCTTAAAATTTAAGGTAGAAACACTTTCTTTTCAACTGATCCCGCTGCCCGAAGTATTGGTAATTTTTTAAAAACGTGTAGAAAAAGCTGTAAAACGAAGGGGAATTACCCATACTAACTAAGCGTGGATTCACCTTTACTAGCCAAGTCCTGGTCCATAGATAGGGCTTGAAAGAGGGGTTGCAGCTCCCCTCGTTAAAAGGTAGGCCTGAGATGTAGGCATGTTCTCCCGAGAAGTCTTCCCCTCCCTCCAAGCTCTCTAGGGCTCACGCCACTGACGTGCCAAGTGGGAGCAGGCAGACGGGCTAGGTGCCCGAGCGCGGCGTTTCTTAGCTCTGTCGCCCGCGGGCGCTCTCAGAACTATCTTCAGGGTCCTGCCGTTCCCAACAGTTAAGCTCTGTGAAGGGAGAGCCTGGGGCCGGCAGGCGGACTGACTGGGGCACGCCGCATAGGCGGTGCCAGCGCCTCCCTGAACGAGGGGGCTCGGAGTGGCTGAACGGCTGAGCCCGGCTGTCCCGTATCAGCACCCTCCCATGAAGGGCTGCCCAG